CTGGCAGATAGAGCTTGATTCTTGTGGATGTTTTGGTGTTTTAGCTACTAGGTGTAGTAGCGATTGATGTATTTTGTACATTTGAATCTAGTCAGAGCCATGTATATATGTATATTCTAGACACTATATATATACACTTGTTCCTTTCTGTTCGATTTTCAGGTGTACTGTGTAGTGTGTAGTGACCAGCCGGGTCGTTACAAAAAAAATAAAAAAATAATGTCAAAACGACTATAAATAAAAAATAGAGGGAGTATTATATTTATAACAAGATTAAGTAAATAAATAAATAAATAATAATTTTATTTTAATAAATAATATTTTTACAAAAAAAATATTTATGAACTTATAAATATATTATTGTAATCAAATACGAAAATTTTTAATTCTAAAAAATTATATATAAATATTTTTAAAAAAATTATGAATAATTAAATATATTTTTTAAAAATCATAAGTATCATTATTTATAATTCTCATTAATCATGGTTATTGAATGCGAAAAAACTCTTCTCCAATATCGCTGAAAGAAAAATAAAAAGATGGAAAATTATAAACAGATATGATGGGTCAAGAAGAGTAAGATTGAGAAAAGATTATTCATGTTGACGGAGAGTTTTAAAAAAATTCTAAATTTCATTATTCCTACAACTCTATTAAAAATGTCAAATTTCTTTAATAAAAAAAAATGTCAAATTTCAGTTGATCTTACATTATTACCACTACCACCCCGTTTTGTAGGTCCCGCACCTAGCTACTCAGACTCTCCTATTTTCAAACTCTGTGACTGTGATTGTGACATGCATGTATCCAAGATAAGTTGGATATTCCTTCTTTCCATAATTTTGTCAAACATCCTCTGACACCTCATGATTGAGTTCGAAACTTAAAAGGAGATGCCGGAATTAGCCTATACTATTGAGTTTAAGTGCCTAAAAGAAAATAAGAGAAGTGGTAAGAAATACAGGATAATAGATAATTAAGAAATAAAAAAATAAAATTATAAATAAATAAATAAATAATAGAATAGAAATTTATTATTAATAATAATATTAATTTTGTAATCCCAAGCGTGTGGTTCAGTGGTAGAGGTTGATCCACGCTTAAGCAAGGTCAGGGGTTCGAATCCTGCCTTGTGTATGCAGCCGTGTTAAATCTTGGGGCCAGCCTCCCTCGTAGCGAGGAAATTAGTCACTGCTGTCGGCGGATCTCACCCTTTGAGGTGCCTCTAGTCATTGCTGTCGGCGGTGGATACTCTAAAATTATTTTTATTATTCATTCTCTTTTCTCTCTTAACTTTTTATATGTTTTGGGACTTTTCCTCATAGAAGAGGAGAATTTTTTTTTTTTTACGTGGATTCCATTTTATTTTCGTCATAATTATTCACAATATTTTTTATCAAATAATATCAAATTTTTAACTTTTCTACACTTCTGTTCCCTTCTTTCTTCTTTTTTCTTATTTATCCTTTACTAAACAAGAGCCTAGTGCTCCACTCGTCTTTATAAAAAAACAATTCAAATTAGGTAATTTATAATTATAATAAAAGTCATAATTTTTTTGTGTACATACTATCTTTTTTACACCGATGTTTTAATCACTTTTTAACTTATTTTACAAAATACTAACATTATTTGAATAATTACTTATTATTTTATATAATTTTTATAGTTTATTTTTTTCTTTTAAAACACTCTTTTCCCTTAGTCGTAAATAATGACAGTATGCATTAAACACATTCCTAGCGCTACAAATACACAGATGTACATGTTTTGAGCACGTGCTTCGTATCTATAAATATACAGTTTTTTAATAATAAGCTCCACAAATTGCAACACGCAGCAAAACCATGGTTGCAAATTGCAATTTAAAACCTTGATACAGCTTAATAAGAACTGCGTAAGCTTGTTTCATATACTATAAATTCATTTGAAAATTTTCCATTTACAGTGAAAGAGCCCAAAAACAGAAATTTTTTTTTTACATATATATATATATATATATATATATATATATTCGCTTTTTTCATGAATTCCAAAGATACGAGCAGCTGATCAGAGTGAGTGTGTGTATCATATAATATAAGATAATGTACATACACATCTCTTTCTTACAATCTTTTTATCTTATTCTGATGTCACCCTGTTACATTTTTCATCTTATATTCCACGTGTCATGATCACTTTAAAGAAAATCCTGTAATAATAATATAATAAAGAGAAAAGCTATACTCTGTTTTTGGTTTGTGCACTATTGAAGAGACCTTTCCCAGGGCAACAACCCTGTCTTGGGATCAGAAAAATTAGAAAGAATGAAGTCCTTGAGGCGAGTGTCCCAAACCTCGCAAAACTTGAAGGGCCAATCAGGTGGCTCAATCGCTTGTGTTCCCAATCCAGGTGCTCTGTCCTTGGATCCTATGTTCACTTCCTCGTTCCAATCCACCACGTAGGTAGCAACCCTTCTGAAGAACTTGGCCTTGAACGTTTCCCACACTTGATACTTATAATGGTTCACGACAGCAACATATGGGGCCACCTTACGCGCTTCAAACCCCTCCCTCAGTTCAAAGTGGTGCACCACATTCAGAAGACTCACGTGAAGCAAATCAGGCCGCACAATCGACTTGTGCCTTTCGGGACTCCTGAGTCGACACGTGTACCCCACGGTCACTCCTTGTTTAGGGTGACTCCTCAACCCCGAAGGACCGAAGTTATGACACCCTATCCTTAACTCAGCAACGGACTTCGACGGAGAGAAATTCGCCACAATGGATCTCAGAGCATTCTTTTTCCCCTCGCCAAGGTAGAAAAACTCGTCCACGTCGAAGAACCCCACCCACTTGCATTCCTCCTTCGCTTTCAATCCACAATGGGAAAACCCCGCTTCTTGGCTTTTAATCCAAGGCCACACCACTCTCGTAACGTTGTACCCTTTAGAATCAAGCTCTCTTGCCACGTCATCAATCTCATCGTCGCTGTTGTTATCGTAGATAAACCACCGCTGCACGCCCACCCACGCGTGGTACATCACCCACTCTTTCATCGCACGTGCCTGGTTCCACACCATGGTGCACGCGCACAGTTCAAATTTCTCCTTCTCCTTCTCCCCTATTCTTTCTCCGTCCCCGCCAATTCTAGCCACCGTAGGCACGCTTTTATTTTTACGCACGTGACTCACGGTCACGCTTATTCCGCGGGCCATGTCGGGGTTCTTAAGAATGCTCTGCGGCAACGAGCACCGCACGACTTCCTGCGCGGCGGAAACGGCTTTCGTGGTGAGCCAAAACGCACCGTTTCGGGGTCCGAAGTGACAGTGGATTAAATTGGCGTCGGAAGCCTTGTGCGGTTTGAGGTTTAGTCCTTTGACGAAGACAACCGCGGTGTCGCCGTCTAGAGTGGCGGAGTAGGCTAAGTTGTCCCAGCTGTTAATTATTGTTTTCACCGGGAACCGGAAGGGGCGGTGATCATCCTTCCAACGGAGAGTGACGGCGGAGAAATTGTTACCGGGAAGCGGGCACCTTGCGATGAAGTGAAACTTATCGTATCGGTCTGTTGAGATAAGCGGGCGAAAGCGAAGGGTGAAAAGCGGGTTGGGTGGGGATGAAGAGTTGAAGAGGTTGTAGTAGACGCAGTGAAGCTGGTGAGAAGGGAAAAGGAGGTGGTGGTTGGGGAGCGTGAGAAGCACGTGATCGGGGAAGAGAATACGGTCGTGCACGTGGAGGGGTGGTGGGGTTGGGGTGGAAAAAGAGTGGTGGGAGGAGGAGTTGAGGAAGAGGAAGAGGAAGAGGGAGAAGGAGAGGTAGAGAAAAAGTGAGATTAGCGTTGGCGGCGCCAGCGTGTGTTTCCTTTTGCGGCTTTGCTCTGGTGGGGATGGGTCCATTATTATTATTATGTGGGTGCATTGCGAGGGTGGTTAAGAAGGGTGAAGCAGCTATGGAGTCAGGAGTGGGAGAGGGAAAGGGAAACGGTGAGAGTGGGAGAGATTCTGAAGTGGGAACGCATGGGAATTGGGATGGTTGAGCCGTCAAAATAGAATAGAGAAGAAAAAACTCATCAGCGTCTTCTTCTCTACTCTTTCC